GGCACTTATTTTTCAAGACTTATTTATTTATTTGAAAGGCAGAAAGGCATAGTTACAGACAGAGAGAAGGAGAGGCAGAGAGAGATTTTCCATTTGTTGGTTCCCCCTGGAAATGACCACAAGGGCCAGTACTGAGCCAGGCAGAAGCCTGGAGCCAGGAGCTTCTTCCTGGTCTCTCACATGAGTGCAGGGGCCCAAGCATTCAGGCCATCCTCCACTGCTTTTGCAAGCACATTAGCAGGGAACTGGAGCAGCCAGGACTCGAACCGGTGTCCATGGGATACCAGCACTGCAGATAGCAGCTTTACCCAATACGTCACAGCACCAGCCCCAAGTAACATTTCTTTAAAAGATGGGTGCAGATTATTAAATCATAAACCCAAATGTGCTGTACAAGGCTGCTTTTCTTCTGACTCTTTCTCTTTTCCATGCCATACCTTGAGACCTTTCTCTTCTCATTAGCACCTCCACCAAAGTTGGACCCAGGAAAGAGAAAGGAAGTGTTCAGACTTGTGCCTGTTTGCATATGCACTTGTCTGAGTTGATGCCAGGACAGCACAAACATTCTGTCCAGTTGTATAGAAAAGCCAGTTTTCACCCCATCATTAAGGTATTATTTTCTTTTCCAGCATAGAACAGTTACAACCAGGCTTCTCTTAACTGTACATTATAAATAGTGTCTGATTAAGAATGTTCTGGATGGGTTCATTAGTGTGCTGACTATTATTAAGCAAACTGCTTGTTAGTATTATGCCTATTTGATCTTGGTATTGATGTGAAGTAATTGACCATAGAGCTACATTTAGAAAAGCTGAAATACAGGTTTTTGATTTCTATTACGGCAATAAATTGTTTATATTAAACATGTCCATGAAAATACGAGTTTTATTTCAGAACATCATAATAGACTCTGTGTAGGAGGGTAGATGAGGCTTTGGTTTGTTTTTTTAGAAGTATTAACAATACACTTGTCCAGCTTGCTTCAAGACCAACTCTATTGAAGCGAAGTAGTAAAAAATTATTTTGGTTTCTATCTTCATTATTGCTGCAGAGTGTATGAAAACTAAAGTGTTTGTAACTTCCCCTAACTAAAGGAAGTATCCTGTTAGATTCGGCTAATTGCCTAAATACTTATTTGGGTGACAGTCACCATAATAAACAGACTATTAAAGAAAAATGTGAAATGATAAGCAAGGAAGACATAGCTTATAACTACCTTCTTTCAAGGACTGGATTGTTATCTATATTATTTATTGGTATTTTGTCCAGTTCTATTATTAAGTTCCCCTAGCCATAGCGTTTCCATAGGGAATTTGTTCCATGAGCTAATAAATTACACCGTCAGGGAGTTTTTCTTGAAATTCAGCTTAAATTTTCCTATTCTTAATTTCATCTCATTACTCCTAGTTATACCCCCTTGTACCAGACTAAATAATTATTCTTTTTCCTTGGAGACTCCTATTATGCACCCCTTTAGTTGTCACTTCACCAGGCTATTCATACTTAGCTCCTTTAATCTGTCCTCATAAATCAATTCTTCCACTGCCTTAATCATTATTATTGCTCTTCTAAGAACTCTCTAATTTTCAAATGTACGCAGTTCTCAGGTGCTCCCAGATGAAACAAGCATTGGCACAGTGCTCTAGCCCAGCACACTCGGGCTTCCTTCCCTGTACAACAGGATCTGGAACTAAGTGGCATCAGTTTGTCAGCTCACATCAGCACTTGCTCTTGTCAAACTCAGGGCAGTCTAAGTAGTGTTCTCCATGCGTCCTGCTTCTATTCAATGTCTATCTTTATGACTTCGGTTTCAAGCAATTTGTAAGCTGCTTTCTTTACCACCTTTCTTTACATTTTGCTTCTTTCTGGGTCCTTGTTCACTGCCACCTATGAAGTCGGTCATGCGCAGCCTGTTTTTAACACAGGATCCTGTTCATCTTTGAGAACATTTAGGAAACATGTTGAATAAAAGCAGGCCTTGCACCTTGCCCACAGCTAAATTCCTTGTCAGTTACCAATTTCCATTGTTTACAACCCCTTAGCCAATCTCCCGTCTCTTTTAATTTGCAATTTTGCTCACATGCTGGCCAACATAAATGGATTTTATGAGTAAGATGGGTCATGATGCTGTTTTCTGAAATGAAGATATGTTGTTTCAATGCCCATTGATTTTTTTTTGTATTGTGAATCCTTCACACACTAAGTTAGTAATTCTGTTAAAATCCTTTTGAAGCTTGCTAGACATTGCTTATCTGATGTAAACAAATAGGTTACTTCTCTTCCTTTATTGTTGTTTGCCAGATATGTACAGATGTTCCTTCTTACCATTTGTTCCATTTGTTTAGAATAAATTGAAGATATTGTCATAGTCATTTTTGTTACCTTTTATGATGGATGATCAATGGGAAGTTTTTGCTGTTTCTTAGTTCCTTAGAATCTTAGAATTTTACATGTGTTTCAGCAAGTAAGTTGATTTGCTCCCTTAATAATTTGGGATCCTTGGAGCCAGCGTTGTTGTGTACCAGATTAAGCCACCACCTGCAGCACCATATTCCATATGGGTGCAGGTTCAAGTCCTGGCTGCTCCACTTCCAATCTGGCTCCCTGCTAGTGGCCTGGGAAAAGCAATGAAAGATGTCTCAATTACTTGGGCCTCTGACACCCATGGAGGACACCTGGATGAAGCTCCTGGCCCCTGGCTTTGGCCTGTGCCAGCGGCAGCTGTTGGTGGCCATCTGGGGAGTGAACCAGTGGATGGAAGTTCTCTCTCTCCCTGTCTCTCCTTCTTTGTAACTCCGACTTTCAAATAAATAAATAAATCTTTGAAAAATAATAATAATATTTTGAGATCCACACAAAACCAAAGTCTTTAAATACTCAAGCTTTTTTCCATTTTAAATCAAGGACTAATTTATTGGGCCATACTTAAGGAATTAGGACCATTCTTTGTATTTTATCTTTCTATATGCAATAATCTATTAATTTCAGCAGGAGAGGGGGCTTGATTTTTCTCGAGGTATTTTAAATGAAAGTAGACATTTAAAGAGCTTGATGAAACAACCAGAGAAGTATCCAAAACAAGCTCTCTGATGGTGGAATGCACAAGGCATACGGCAACCAAAGACTTTGTCTGCATCCCATGTGGACTCCCCAGTCTTCCCTAGTTTTGTTCTCTAGCTCTTGCTTTGAGAGCAGTAAATGGCCTTTCCCTATCTCCACAGAGACTCTGCTGATCCCTGATCTCCACTGCACTAACCACTGTTGACATAGATGACCTGCCCTAATACTTCAGTGACACAACTCTATAGTTGCCACACCTGCCACCTAAAACTACTTATGTTTTTCAGCTGACTTTTCATTCCATCTTCCCTCAGCTTTGCTAGAAAGCTAAGTTTGTTCTCTTTTATAAGGCCCTACTTTCCACCCAACACACACCAAGACGCTTGGTGGTAACCACATGTTCTGCTGTTTTTCTACTTCCATCCTTCAAGACTTTTCTATTTCTTTGCAATTTTGCTACCTTCCATATCAAATATTCCCAAGTAATATCCCTGAGTCTGTGTGCTTCACTTTAAAAATAATTCAATCTTGCCTTCCCCACATTTGCCTACTTGGCTTTTTCTGCCTCTCTCTCACGCACAAATACTAACGTGGTTTTCTTCCTGCACCACTCCATAGAGATTGCCCTTAGCAGAGGCCAGGGACCTAGGACATGACAAGGCCCAGAGTTTCTTTCTCTGCTGCTGTAGCACTGCTTCAGTGTTTATATCCCTTTTTATATATGTTCTTTTTGGATTCTCGATTTCCCTTTTTATGCGTTCAGTGAGGATGTTGATGCTCTCTTGAATTCTCTTTCTACTCTTCTAAATGTTTCTTTTTGCTCTCCTTCCATGGCTTTTCTTTCCTTCCTACTATTAAATGCATGTATTCTCCGTTTCTTCATCTATTTAACAGTTAAAGTAAGAGGCCAGGTCTCTAGATGGGCCTCAGTAACTCTCAGAAAAACACTCAGTTGTTTGGCTCAGTCTAAGTGTGCAGACTTCACATCCCAGACCTGCATCCAGCCTCTTCGGGTTGTGCACTACTCCCTGACAAGTTGATGTGCCTTCACATCCCCTTTTCCTTTGACTATTCTGTTTTCTCAGTCCTGGACTCTTCTTTTTCTCTGCAAAATTTTCAATTAAAAAAACTTAAAGTCTTTCTATTCCTTTATTGATGATCCCCAAGTCAGAATTAATCTTTGGCTCTCTACAGTTTAAAAAGTTGTAATGTTGTGATGTCTCTTTAGTTGGCTGTTCACATATCCATCTCCCTCTCTGTTCTAAATGCTAATGGTTTGCTCCTCAGTATCCTGTTTGAGAATAGATCCTCTGTTTGTATGGCTTATGGGTTTTAGGCTATAATAAAAATTTCTTTCAAACATCTATTTAGACTTTCTATCAACTGGTAATAGGTATGAAAGTCCATATGACAAAACATTATGGAAATATAGGAGGAAATGATAATGAAAAATATGTTAAAATACAGTTCAGAAAACATTAGCAAAGTCTAATGAAAAAGTGCAGAAATACAGAACAGTCATGTCAGCAGAGATGGCAATTGTTAATCATAGAAGTTTCAAACGATTTTGTAAGATAATGTGCAAGTGACTTGAAAACAAGGACGCGGCTATGGGGTGATGGGGAAACACAACATGGAAGTCTAGAAAGATAAGGGAGGGGAAAGCAGTAGGCCATCTCTCTAGTCTAGGTTTTACGGGATGTGTCGTGCACGTCTTAAGGCCACAGAGACTTTGGAAATCACTCAAAGAGAGCCCAGATTAATTTTAAACTTCTGAATTTTTGTTTGCTGACTACTACTTTTATACTTTTTCTAGGATCTTTGTTATAATGTCTTTATATTTTCTCAGTCTCATAATTACTGTGTTCTTACAGGAAAACAAAGGGCACATTTTACATATTTCTTTCACTAAAAATGTGCTGCCTTCCTTTTCATGACAGATTCATGTCCAAGCACAAAGCAGCCCATCTGCAGAAGATGCTCAGCCTTTCAGGAAACAGTGACGCCCCTCCGTCCATGGCCCTTCCAGAGCAGAGAGAGTCTGAAAATGTATTGAAGAATTCTAATTCAGTATATGATGGACACCCTGGCCTGGATATTGCCCAAGAGGGAAACATGGGTAACTCATTGTGGAAGGAGTCAGACTTGGACAAGTCCAACTCATCAAATAATTCAAGCTCTCATCATGGAGAAAAGAAACAAAATCTGACTCTTAATCCCTGTGACATTTTGGGTGAAGCTGATGATCAGCAAAGACCATTGCACATTGTCTGGCCTCATAGGTGGTAAGTGAAGACATGCCAAGTTAGTAAGAGAGATAAATGACATATATTCTGATAACTTATTAATTTGCTTTCCCTACAGCTTTAGAAAAAGATCATTTTAATGTGGTGGTACTACCAATGTGGTGCCATAGTGGCACTGTTCAGTGTCTTTTTATTAATGGATGTATGCTTAGATTACATTTAAATTACAAATAATTATATGAAGTGATTTGCTCTACTAACAATAGTAGTGCAGCACTTCTGGGAAATAAAACGTTGCTCAAGAAGTTCCGAACTGGAAAAACTAGATTCCATTTTATACCCTTACATGTACATAGTTATCAAATAAGTATCTCCTATATACACACTGATAAAGCATTTTAACCATTAAAACAAGAACAATTTCCATTGTTTACCTCTTTGGTTTCAACTGGGTGGCTTCATCTGACTTGTCATGATATGTATCAGTACATTTGAAATTATTTCCCTTCTCCCAAATGCCTCTGCATTGCGCTAAGCAAAATACATTCTAGCAAAGTCTTTTCTAAACTGGGGAAAATCAACTGCAGCACGTAATCCCACCAAATATAAACTCATAAACTTAACCCCGGCTCCTATAAATTAGGATTTAAGGAGGTAAAATGTCCTGATAATCTTCTGGTATTAAGCACGAACATTTTAATCTAGTTTTTATTCCTCCCAGTTAGTTTAATCTGCATGTGGCCTGATTAGAGTTCACCTCCCCCACAGATTATGGAATCTTTATTACGGAAATGCTGGGCTGATCATTAGGTCCGATTTTCTGAGAGCCACTGTTTGCAGGTGAAGTAATAAGCACGCCACACCGGCCGGGCAAAGCGCCTTTGCCGAGGATTTGACTTCCGGCACGTTAAAACTCCAGAAGCTCTCCCGGTTGATCTGCAGCATCTGGTACCTAAAGAGATTTTTGTCTTTGACTCTAAATGTATGAATGTAGAATTTAGAGATCGAAAGCTGGTGTGTGTGTTTTTGTATTTGTTGTTCGTCTTCATTTGTCCAGCATAGCCTTTCCAAGGGAGAATCGTATGTTTGTACACCATACTCGTATTTTACTTAGAATGTGACAGTGTTCAGTATTCTTTTATGTCTTTTTCAAATGCAGTGGGTCTCGATGAGATTAACCTGTTCAAGGTAAAATAGATGTCACCATTTACTCCCTTCTAGAAAGCCCTTTCTTTTATTCTGCTAATCTTTGGTCATCTCTGAAGTAATTTTCATTGCAAGAGAATCAGTTCTAAAAAGTTTGGCTCTGGGTTTTCATAAAAACGTTAAATTAAATAATTTGCAGAGTGCTGTTACAAAATAGCAATACAGGGGAAAGAGTGAGAGCCATGGTATTCAGTACTTTGCACAAATAAGACAGAGCTATGTTAATAAAATTAACAATATTAAATTGAATAATTCCCTCTCTTCCTTTGTATATTTTTGCTTTAATTTAATTTGATTGCCTAAAGTTAGTTGCTTAAAGAGATGCAGCCTTATGTTTGTGAACGTTCTTATTGTTAAAGCTAAATTATTTTTAATTTGGAGAAGAGGGAAAAAAGCCGCATCAGCAAGAGTAAATGCCAAAATATAAAAGTAACACATTCATCCTTACGGGTAATATAGTAGAACATTGGAAACTTGGAGGTTGCCAGACACATAGCTAACATTAGGGCTAATTTTGAAAATCTAGCGTGCAGTCAATTTTACTGATGCCTGGGGACATACAAGGTAGAAGCTGACAAGAGAACTAATTTTGTTTGGGTTATTTACTGCTATGCATCATCCGTAGGTTCCCGCCTGACACACAGCTATATGAAGGGGGATATTATCACACACTAAAAATTTATGTTGACATTCGATATTTGTTCAATATGTCAGCAGTATTACTTTCATAATCAAAAGAGTAAGAAAAAGAGAAAAGAAAAGCACTTTATGCTCATATAGATATATCTTTTTAATAACAGTCTATAAGGTTAATATAGTTTACCTTTGAGAGTATACAATGAAAACAAGCAGGGTTAGGAGGGGAAATGACAGAAAGCATCAACCCGAGCTGTTTGTTTGCCATTACCTAAGCGAGCCATGTCAGCTCTCTGGCCCGCGTCTGATAGCTATTTGTTGTACAGAGAGCACAGCATAAAAAAAATATCAAACTCTTAATACTATTGTGTGCCCATAACCATCTGTCACTGCTAGCCTGGAGATGAGAGGAAGATTACGAGGAATAAACACTGAGCCGCCGAGCATTGGTAAAGCCTTCGGGCAAAAAACTCTTGTGGGGACATCAAAGACATTCTAATTCCGAGGCAGTCAAGGATTACAGTGTGTAACCTGTGCTGACAACAGATAAATGACTGGCAATATTGTGCCAGAGCTGTTGGGTCCTGCATGGAGTACTGATGATGATGATGATGATGTTATCTTGCAGAATGGACTCTGCTGGGATAATTTTATGATAAAACACTTTTTTCAAATGCCACTGGGTCTAGGCAGACATTTACTAGCTACAGGGGTAGCAATCAGTTTCTTCAAAATTTACTGTTCTAAGCCCATTAGAGTTCCAGCGCAGCAAGACTCTTCAATGAAAATCTAAAATGCCTATATTTTCTTTAGGAGAATATATGCAAATGTTGTGAGCTGAACTCCTACCCTATAGTGGTAGATGCTTTATCATCTGATTTATGTAAATTTGCTCATAAAAATACAGCTTATTTTTAATTGGTGAATATGAATTAGAAAATTAAGATTCTGGTTCAGCATTCATCAAACATCCCCAGCTACAAGCACACATTTATTTAGACCCCTGATCGTATGGGTAGAAATCATATAATTGACCAGTCAATATGAAATGTATTCTACCAAAAGGCAACCACGGTTTCTACTAGAAATGACCAGGGCTGTGTTACTTATTCAACCAGCTCAGTTGGAGCCCCCCACATCTTCTCCTCTGTATTATGAGCTCCTATGACTACCTGCTCGAAGATGGGGGCGAGGGATGGGATTAGAGTCATCGGCTTCCGTCTGTTGCATTTTTACCTTGGCTATGTGTGTGATCCAGAGAGAAGGTGTTTCATGGCAGGGGAATGCGTTGATGACTGTTTCCCCTGTGAGCATAAAGGAGAAATGGACACTGGACCCTGTCATTACCTTGCCTAGCTAAACAAAAATAAAGCCCTCCTCCTTATCATAAAACATATGCCCATGAAATCATGCAGTTGCCGTGGCCAACGCTAAAAATGGAGTGATGCTGACCTCATTGTGTTAGTTCCACCCTGGGATCATGAATGGTCTAAAATATAGTGTTAGCCTCTAACATATCTTGTACTAAGTCAACCAAATGTAGAGCCTACTTGCTAGGATATGTATCAAAATCAAAAGTGACATTTTCTGGAAGATACATTCTGGCTTTAAATCTGTGTTAAAATGTCTGTGCATGAGAACAGGCCCTTAAATGCAATGCTTGCCCCCTCTCTTCAGTCTTTCTGAATCTGAGCTTGTCAAGGATTATAGTGTGCAACCTCTGCTGACAGTAGATAAATAACTGACAGTATTTTAGCAGAGTTGCTGAGTTCTCTGCAGAGTAATTTGTTTTCTCCTTTCTACCCAGTCTTTAATGTTTTGTTATAAACATCTATAGCAAAGGCACAGTTAATAGAAATGACTTATAGAGAAAGACCTGTAAAAAATAGAGAGTAATTGGCAATGCTTGTTTTTTTTTTTTTTTTAAAAAAAAAACTTTTCTTTCTATTATACAAGTGCTGTAACATTGTGCCAGGCTCAACCTTTATGTAAATATTCTCTACATTATAATGGACACCAAAGACACTCTGCTGGAGGGAGAGAAAACGCAAATTTGGAAGACACTGAAAGATCACATTCTCACCAGCGCCACGGCTCACTAGGCTAATCCTCCGCCTTGCGGCGCCAGCACACCGGGTTCTAGTCCCGGTCGGGGCACCGGATTCTGTCCCTTTTGCCCCTCTTCCAGGCCAGCTCTCTGCTGTGGCCATGGAGTGCAGAGGAGGATGGCCCAAGTACTTGGGTCCTGCACCCTATGGGAGACCAGGATAAGCACCTGGCTCCTGCCTTCGGATCAGCGCGGTGCGCCGGCCACGGCGGCCATTGGAGGGTGAACCAACGGCAAAGGAAGACCTTTCTCTCTGTCTCTCTCTCTCACTGTCCACTCTGCCTGTCAAAAAAAAAAAAAAAAAATCACATTCTCCAACCTGAGGGGCCCAGGCTCTGTTCTCAGGACCTCCTCACGATCTTAAAAATGAGTGGGACTTGGGGCCAGCGCTGTGGCGCAGTGAGTAAAGCCGCCGCCTGCAGAGCCAGCATCCCATATGGCTCTGGTTCAAGTCCCAATGGCTCCACTGCCAATCTAGCTCTCTGCTATGGCCTGGGAAAGCAGTACAAGATGGCCCAAGTCCTTGGGCCCCTGCACCCACGTGAGAGACCTGAAAGAAGCTCTTGGCTCCTGGCTTCAGATGGGCGCAGCTCTAGCCATCGCCGCCAATTGGGAAATGAACCAGTGATGGAAGACTTCTCTCTCTCTCTCTCTCTGCCTCTCCCTCTCTCTGTGTGTAACTCTGCCTTTCAAATAAATAAATAAGTCTTTAAAATAAAAAAAAAAAAAATGGGACACCAATGAGCTCTTGCTCATTGTATCAGTATTTACTGTATTAGAAATTAAAATGGAAGGAAATTTTTTTAAAGATTTAGTTATTTATTTGAAAAAGTTACAGAGAGGAAGAAACAGAAAGAGATGTCTTCTTTCTGCTGCTACACTCCCCAAATGGCCACAATGGCCGGGGCTGGGCCAGGCTGAAGCCAGGAGCCAGAAGCTTCTACCAGGTCTCCTACATGGTACAGGGGACCAGGTACTTGGGCCATCTGCTGCTGCTTTTCCAGGCATATTAGCAGGAAGCTGAAAAGAAATGAAGCAGCTGGGAATCAAACCCATATGGTTCCCATATAGGATGCTGGTGTTGCAGGTT